TTTTCTCTCTCTCTAAAGCAAAGTAGAATCTCTTGGAAAAGATGGTACTGGAAACTCTGAATCCAATGCACTACAACATCACCAGCCTAGTACCAGATATGATGCCAGTGGCCACAGTGCCCATACTCATTCTCATGTGCTTTATGTTTCTAATATGGAATCACGAAGAAACTTCGTCAATACCAGGTAAATTAACTTCAGCTATAGTATCATTTAAAGCTGTCAGAGGTGGTGGGTTCTTTTTTTTCCATTTCTCAAATTTAAGTGAGAGAGTAATGCTGAGTAATGATTGTATGCCAACAAAATTTACTAAGAATCAGTTTAAATAAGTGGTAAAAGAAATCAGGCTTGCTCTAATCTCAGAACTTCCATAATAAACCTGGCTTGGATATATAATGGCATTTAGATTTCTGCTTTATTATGTATATGCTAGAAAGATATAATACCCTTTTATAGACTCCAGATGTTCGTATTTTCATGTGCATTATAAACTATTTTTTACTTATTTTATATTTAAAGCTTTCTAAATTATCTTTACTAGAAACAAACAATTATCTAGAAAAATTATTCAGATTTTAGTAACTATTAATTTTGCTTTCCATGTTTGGCACTGGAGACCCCTTTCAGAACAGAACAACATCAAATGGTTTCCCTTTCAGGGAAGCCCCTTCTGTAATGTTTTGGGGGCTTGTGGCAGACATTACTGATTCAGCCTATTTTTCATTAGGGGAAACAATGACCTTCTGCATGAATGAGAGCAGTGTACACATCTCACAAAGGTGTTTGACAGGAATAACCTTAAACCAATGCAGAGGCACCAGAATGAAATTCTGGGACAAGATCCTTGCCAAACATTCTTCAATATGCTAAAATTCTTTGAAAGTTAGAGAACAGGCGAAAGTATCCACAGAAGGTTATGCATTCTATTTGAATGCTTGATTGGATCATCAAGAAGACAGAACTAAATTAATATGCTTTACGTTTACAGGTATTTAAATAAGCTGGGGTCTTGCAATTCCTATCAGTAAATGGAATTTACTGATAATTTGAATTAATGCAATTAATTACATCAAAAGGACATTGACTTTTGTAAGTGTTACTGACACTTGAACACGAATTCAGCCAAGATCACTCGAAGGATTTATTAAAAATCACAAATAAACCATATGCGTTTTTTCCTAGATAATTTCTTCTTTCTAATATCTGGCCATTGGCCCTCCAGACATAACCAATCTCAAAGCAGCAGTTTGAAGCTGTACAGACAAGTAATGTATGTCATTAGTTATATGTACATTGAAAGGACTATAAGCTTCCAGAGATACTAAGTGAGTCTTCACCAACATAGATGCAAGTTTCTCTATGACAGAACTTCAGAACAGGATTGTATATGTGAACTGCCCTATACAGACCTTGACTGTCATGTTTTAGCTCCTTTCGGAAGGGTGATGCTCAGCGGTATATCCTTGTCAGTGAGCACTGCTGAGACCAAACTTTTCTTACCCTATTTCTTAGGGCCAGGATACTGTATGGGAATCGGTCCCCTCATTTCACATGCGAGATTTCTCTGGATGGGAGTAGGTAATGCCTGCAATTACTACAATAAGACCTACGGAGAATTTGTGAGAGTTTGGATCAGCGGTGAAGAAACATTTATAATTAGCAAGTAAATCCTTATTTTCTATCCTTAATAACATAAATAAGAAATTTTTCATATTAACAAACTGCTACTTTTTTCCTAAAGTAGAATCAAAGTGATTTTCAAAAATTATGCTAACACAAACCTTTTACTTCCTGCTGTTTACACATATTTTTCTAATCTTTTGTTGCTATTGAATTCTATGTGAATTCTCTCATTTTCTTTGTGGAAAGGAAGATTAAACACTGTAGCTCAATCCTAAATGTTTACCATCTCTTTTTTTCTATTCCATTTAATATTAGGATTATATACTAAACAGGAACCTAGACTGACTGCAATGCAGGATTAAGCCAAATTTTAGTTTCCTACGTTCTTTAATTTCTGCTTAAAAATGCTTGAAGATTATGGCTGCAATTCAGCAAGTTAATTAAGCAAATGCAGCATTACAGGATTATGAGTAATTCCACTCCAATTAGTGGGATTACTCAGGCTTCGATTATACACAGTATTAAACATAATGCTAAACTGCAGTCTGTCGTTTTATTTATTTATTATCCTCCAGTGGATGTCTTTCTTCTTATATTGGATCTTCTGGAAGCTTATGAGTTATGCCATGAAAAAAAGTAGCAAAATATTTACCGTGTGTAATTGATAAACAATCATGACCTTTTTATTACTAATATCAATCAATCTGTTGTCAGCTTCCATTATGTAAAAGCTTTTGAAAGACAATATAGTAGAGAGAACTATCACAGAGTTTGCCACACAAAACAAGTCAGCTTCATCTGTCTGTTTTTACCTCTGTAAAAAGAGGTAATTATGATAGGAAAACTATTTACATTCCTATCCTACATAGGTGTTGTAAGCATCAGCTAATGCACTACAATGTTTTGATGATGTAACATGCTATGAACTCTTATTGTTTTCTTCCACTTCCTGTACTACCAATTCATCAGAAACAAATCAGGAGTGCCGGTAAGCAATGCCACAGCTGCATCAGACTTCACAGTCAATATGTTACTTTTCTTCAGACATTTTTGGCTTAAAAGTATTGACTATACACAGAGAACCAGTATTTAACTTTTATAAAAACAACCTAGAATAAAGTTTTCAGGGAATCACAAATTATCTGCAAAACTAAACATAACCTGAATTCTGTAAAAGTACACTATTTCCACCAATGTCATCTGAATTTTTACCATCTAATCATACTGAGACACTAATGCACAGAGAGAAGGACTTGCAATCTTGGTTAAAATAGATGTTGTCTTTTGGAGAACTTCATTAAAATAGTTTCATAAGGAAAATCTGCTTCTACAAGGTCATATGTCAGAATTTGTCCTTAAAAGAGTCTCCTGTGTCTAGATGTGTGGAATGGAAGGAAGAAAAACGAGCCTGCTGCCCCCTTCCATTCCTGGGGACAGCTGTCATAATTCAGCACCATCTTTTCATGTTCATGAAAATACAGATGATGCTCCTTGATGTGCAAAAAACCTTTAAGGAAATTAGAAAAGAGAGCAGATATAGGGAAGTGTAGGAAAGAAAATACGCTGAGTTCATTGGAAGGCTGGACTTGCAGACACAGTCTTCCTCTGTTTTCACTCCAATCCTTAATCCATATTCGCCTATTTGTACCATATGGCAATCTCACTGTTCACTTTACCTCTGGTCATGTAAAACTATGGTGAAAATCCAGCACTGCTGAAGTCAATAGGAAGAGTCCCAGTTACTTTGCCTGACTGAAAAAAATAAAGTAAACCCACATAAGTAGTCTGGTATTTGACTATGCCACATGGTAAAGAAATTAGTGTGTTGTTTCATTTCAATCTCTGTTCTGATTTTCTTTATTTTTGTTCAATTTCATCTGATCAGTTTTTCATCACATTAAAATTTCTAAAATGCTAGCTCCCTCTAAAGGAAATTGTACCTTAAAGCAATAGAGCTGGTCGCAACCTGTTTGCCAGCACATGTAAATAAACCTAGTCAACTGTAAAAAGAATTATACATATCATGCATTTTCTTAACATATCTATTTAAGAATATTTATCCCACACATGTCATCATATTATGATGTTGCATATTTAAATGATGCATGTATATTTAAGTTTTCTATATGCATCTGGGGGGAATGACTAAATAGGTACAAAAGCATAGCTATAATTTAAAACATGTCTTGATGAAATTACCAACTGTCAAATATTTCATATGTCATCTTCCACAATATCTGACATTGGTCATTGCCCAAGTGTATCATGTATCTACATGTTTCTATGCATCCACACTAGTCAGATTAAAATCTTTTGGTAACCATTTGCGTTTTAACTGAAAAACAGTTTTAAATCTGAACAGAATACATCATTGCTGTAATATACATTCTGAAGGCATTTATCATCAAGGTTTTTAATTATGCAAAATGAACAATATTTAATGTGAAGCATTGTACTTCCTGCTAAATTGAGAACGCAGTCGGCACTTCAGAGCAACTATAAAACGTCAGAATAAAAATTCTGTGTACAATCTATGAAACAATATTTTTGTTTTGTGCCTTTTTCCCCCTGTTTTTCCCAGATCCTCAAGCGTGTCCCACGTAATGAAACACTGGCATTATGTTTCTCGATTTGGGAGCAAGCTTGGATTACAGTGCATTGGCATGTATGAAAATGGGATCATATTTAATAATAACCCAGCACACTGGAAAGAAATCCGACCCTTTTTCACCAAAGGTAAATCAGTGTGCACTAATTCACTGTAGCACGTAGTCTATCTTTTCTGAAATGCTATTTGTCCTTTGCACACTTAAACTACAGAAATCAGTTCTCTACACATCCCATAGAATTGTTTTATTGCACACATTCTTTCACACTTATTCTGCTTGGTATGCTATTTGAAATGGTCCTGAAGTAGTTTTGCAGATTCTTAGTCTCATCCAATTAAAACCAAACTAAATGATGCCCACAAGCCTTGTTTTTAAATGCTTTTACATTTCAAGTCTGACATTCACATTAGCTCAACTGGCACTTCCACAAATGCAGTTGGCTGTTCCTTTCACAGCCTCCGCTGAGTTCAGACACTTTTCTGCTTTGTTCTAATGCGGGGAGGTGGGGAAGAGATTTAGTTTCAAAATTAATTTATATCTGCACAAGCGATCTATTTATTAATCCCTTTTATATACTAGGAATCAATGTAGTAACAGAGGAAAAGATTGAAGTAATTAATATCACTACATCGACATCAAATAGGAAATTTCATAAATAAATTCCACTGTTACTATTTATGAATCTGATATTTTTTGATTCACCTTCTTTCCACAAACTGAAAATTTTCAGTATTTGCCTATCGTTAGAATTAGCTACTGCCAATGATCTTACAGCCTTCCTAACCAAACTGCCACACTTGTTCTGCAAGCTCCACAGTTCATAAAAGATTCTCACCAGCTGAGACTGCAGTAGTTTATGATAGTGATTTCAGAACCTGAAAATGAAAGTAAAGCAGCATCTAAAAAAAAATTAATTATACGTTGGTTTATATTTTCTATATTATTTTGTTGATACATCTGTGCTCTTTATGTGACAGTTATGCCTTTCCTACTGAAAAATATCAGCAACTTTGTACTGGTTAAAGATGGCAGGAAAATTTTTTTTCATTTTCTACTTATTCCTAGAAGTACCACCAGTTCTCTCTATTCACAAAACAGACCTCCTCTCTTCTCAATTACAAACATACAATCCCTCAGTGATTCTTGTATGGAAAAATAATTTAGATAAAGTACTTAAGACGAGATTTCCCAAGTCATTCAAAAACTACCTGAATCCATTCCATCTGGAGCCTATGAAAATCCCACTGAATTACATAGCAATAGAACTGACCACTGCGCTTTTGAATTCTTAAAATGCAATAAATCCATCATTATGCTCTCTTCACTGTTCATAGGTAGACAGACTACTGCCAGGCTAGGCTTCAGTATGTTCAGAGACATTACAGGTTGCCAGTAGCTTACTGCACGGCTACCATACTGTTTAAGAACGCCCAGGAGTTATGTTTTCACAAATTCTTATCATCCTCCCCATGAACCTCCAAGCTATCTTCCCTGCTCAGTATCACTGCAAGCAAATGAGACAGGACATCCACAGGGCCTGTAATGCTGATGAGGACATGGATACCCTCCCACACAGAAAGATAGGACAAACGATGCCAAATATCTTTCTTTAACATGATACGAACCTAGCATAAAACGTGTGTCTGAGATACAAAGTGGCTGGATGCAAGGAAAGTTTGGGCTTTGAGATCACTGCCATTTTAACTCAAAAGGCTCACATTTTCTTTCAAAAGATTATAAACCAATAAGTTTCAGATTGATTTTATACCAATCACTCAGATGGTAAAGTTTTACATTTTATTGAACCATTATTGCAAATTGATAAGTTATAAATAAGGTATGAAAGTTAACCAATCTTTTGATTATTTTGCACATATTTCAGCTCTCTCTGGTCCTGGTCTTGTGCGTATGATAGCAATTTGTGTTGAATCAACAATTGATCACTTGGACAAACTAGAGGAAGTAACCACTGAAGTAGGAAACATCAATGCGTTGAATCTTATGAGACGGATCATGCTTGACACATCTAACAAGCTTTTTCTTGGGATCCCTTTGGATGGTACTAACCATTTTTATATGGTTATAAATATATTTATGTGGCTTTATTTTTATACCTTATGATGGATCTAAAGTGCATGTCCAAGCAAAACTCATTGACATCGCTCAGCAGTTTTGTTTCAGAAAACAGAGCAAGAATACTCTCATATCACCATATAATTAATTGAAATTGATTTGAGTTATTTTAGTTGTAAAATAATTTTCTAATATGCATTAGCTTGTCATGCTCATCTAAACAAATGGTACCATTTAAAGAGATTTTTATGCACTGAGTTGGTACAATCCCAATATTATATGCCTGTAAGAATCAGAAATCTTTCCACCAAACTAAATGATTGCCTTGAAAGTTCACCTGACAAGTTATGTCCTCCATGATTTCTTCATCCTCAAAAACATGACAGAAATAACATTATTGTGATGTCTAAATTACCCCATTTCAATATGCTGCAAGAGTTCTGCTTCTGCTCTCCTATGGGAGGCTATTTGACTCCGATTGACACACCACTATCTCCTTTTAGCTAGCTACCAAGAGTTTTTACCAAGATCTACAATTTTTCTACAGTGTGCTAAAAACATTTCCTAATGCAACCTACCATCATTAAAACCAATTGTTTATCAAGTTTCCATGAACTTATTTGGAGTAGGGAACAGGGCTTTATTATAATTTTTTCTGATGCATTTGTGTTATTTGACTATTGATGCTTATATTTTATACAGCTTTTTGTTAACATTTATTTTCAGAACGTGCTATTGTAGTTAAGATTCAAAACTACTTTGATGCTTGGCAAGCACTTTTATTAAAGCCTGACATCTTTTTTAAGATTTCTTGGCTGTGCAAGAAATATGAAGAGGCAGTGTAAGTATTAACAGTTTTACAAACTATTTGCATAAGATTCTTTCTTTCTGTGAAGGAGATCTTCCTTGATGTTTTCCTCTGCCTTTTAGAAGACAAATTGCGAAACTTGCAAAGGTGGCTGGCTGAAGTCTACTATCTGCATACTCAATATAGAAACAGAACAAGATTTGCCACTAATGCTACAAGTGGCTGATCTCAGGAGACAATTTAAAGTCCTTGTCTATTCGATCCTAGTTTACTTACCAAAAAATTAGTTAATGCCTGTTGAAATGTGAAACTAAATTGAAATCACTGGTTCGGTTCAAACAGACAAGGAAAAGCCATCATACGGCTGAAATTACATTTGTTATCTCATCAAGAACAGTCAAATAGCAGGCTACAGTTCATCAAAACAAGAGAATCCACCTACACTCATGACGCTGTCCCAAAAGAGTTAACCCCGAGCATAATTCTATATATTGGTTCCATCAACGTGCATTTTTGAGTCAACAACTCATTTTTGAGTTTAAACTTGGAGCTCAGCATGATAATCCATTTCCTAAATAAGGAACAAACATTTTGCCATCTTCCTCTTTGCAAAAATACAAAATGCTTCTTCTATTTTTATCATCTCATTTGCTGTCTTCTGTCAAAAGAGAACTGGCTATAAAAAGAACTGGCAATCAGTTTGTTCATTTTGGATTCAGATTCCATCTAGTGAAACTTCTACTGATGAAGTATGAGCAATAAATTGTTTAGATAGTACTATATAACAAAAAGGCTTTAAGGGAAAGATGAAGTTTCATCTGAAGTAATTGACAACTCTTATGAATGAGACAAGATTTGTGATCTCTAACATTTGCTTGCCAGTTTTGTTATGGCACTGATTAGTGTTTTATCCCATGATTCTAATAATAGCTAACTGTGGTGGCCCAGTTATTACTAGAAAGCCCCTGCAGGCAAATATTCATGTTTCAAAAGCAATCTGGACTTATTCATAAATTTCTACTGAAAAAAAAATGATAAAAATTGCTGGACTTAAAGCAACACAAAGAACCACCACAGGATATGACGACTTCTGATATTCTTCTAAAAAAAGTTGATAAAATGGACCAGTTGCTATTTCTAATACATAAAAGATGTTATAAATAATGAGAGCTTCACCAGGTTTGAAGTTTTAAATGCATTTACCCTTAAATACCTCAGTCAAATTTTCTATCCCAACAATAGCAAACACAAGAGGGAAGCCTGAGGATTTCATTCAAAAACTTCTCAAAGTACTTTTTAGGAAGAATTGTCTTCAAACTTATAGCTAATTGAAAATCCTAAATAAAATTATAAAAAACTATGAGACATTGCTTTTTTCAACCACCGAAATACAAACTGTTGACACAGTATTACTGACTATTTAAACATGAAAAATTTAGATCAACTCTACCTTCAAGATAGTACAATTTTTCTAACCTTTATCTACATTTTTCTAACACTTATCCCTCATGTTTTCCAAGTTAATTTTATTCACTGATAAAATACAGTATAAAACAGAAGGAAATAAATTAATTCTTTGGAAATATTAATAAATCTTTAAAAACTCTATTCATTAAGATATACAGACATATTTTCATCCTTTGCAGTCTATATAAAGAGAGTAAGATAATAAATAAGACAATAAGCCTATAAAAAGAGAAAAATATTTTGGTCCAAACAAGCAGTTATTTAATAAAAAATAATAAGAAAATACACCTTCCCTTAGTATTACTGCTTTTTCAGAGAACCATACAACCACCTTTACGAGTACTTAATTTCTGTCATTCTTAGATGTTTTTATTAGTATAATCTCTATGTTTCTAATCATATCCTAGTATATACTAAAAGTTTTGAGATATTTATCAATACGTTGGATTTCCTCTGTTTTCAGCAAGGATCTAAAAGGGGCAATGGAAATCTTAATAGAACAGAAACGACAAAAACTTTCCACTGTTGAAAAGTTGGACGAACACATGGATTTTGCATCCCAGTTGATTTTTGCACAGGTATTGGCAATGTACTCAAAATACAGCTAACTTGGATCTTTCTGACATTCTCCTATCTATCGCTAACACCACAGGCTTTGCTACTTTAACTTCATCTGTTTATCTGAAAGTCATGTCATCATAAAGGGATACAAATTAGTTGGTTCTGTAGAGTCCCTAACAGTGATTCAGACATTGAATAGTTGCATTTTTGGGAACTGGTGCTTGTTTAATTTTTTTCATGGCTTAAACAACATCCTTGAAACTCTTGCATCTACCCCTGAATGTCCTCCAGTCTTTCCCTAACCCCTGTACTTTATCTCGATGTATTGCCTTTTGTTTGCAAATGCTTCAAATGCTACATAAATCTTATCTTTTATGATTTCTGACAGCTCACAAACTCTGAAGGAATGCAATAAATCAGTAAGAATCTGAGCTAAGAACAAACTCTTGCTTTTCTGTAAATATATATCTATCAAAACACAAGTTTGCTCTTTTTCTTTGAAAGACAAAAAATAAATGCTATTTAGCATATGAGAGTATTTCTATCAAGATCTTTACTTTTGTTTAAAGCAGATATTCTAGGTTTTTCCCATTCCACTGCTATAGGACCTTTGTTAGCATCAGAGGTCAGCAATCAACATTTTCCCCAAAACTTCCAATGTATTTCAGAACAGAGGGGATCTGACTGCCGAGAATGTGAACCAGTGTGTGCTGGAGATGATGATTGCTGCTCCTGATACACTGTCTGTGACTCTCTTCTTTATGCTAATACTGATTGCAGAGCACCCCACAGTGGAAGAGGAGATGATGAGAGAAATTGAAACTGTTATGGGTAAGCAGGAGCTGCAAAGTCAGTGATGCGGGTATATAATTTTGCTTCAGCAGTGATTGAATTATTATTATTCAAAGGCTTAACATTTTAAGTGTTTTCTTCTAATAGAAGCATTTGCTGTAAGATATATGAACTACTATTATATATAAAAGATTCTATTCAAGCTTAAATGAAAGAGGATGAGCAATTTGTAGGATAAATTCTAAAAGGAATCATCTGAATTTACAATGTATTAGAAAGAAGCCTCTATATTCCCTTCTCAGCAACAGCAGTGCAAATCAGCACTCACCTCGTAAGTTCCACTGAAATTATTTTCCATTTACCTCAAAATAGCAAAAGGGAACACTCGTTTCAAATACTTCTAATCACCAATGTTTCTCTGTGCATATACAGAACCTGTCTAAGTTTCACAGAAAAGGAAACATTAGAGAAAATTAAAATCATATTCTGCTGTCATCCATTTTGATATCAAACTGATTTCCTCTTTAAGTACCAATTACTAACTATTCAAAACACAATCAAGATATTCCAAATTAGTCTTCTTCCCTATCTCTAGGATTCATTCAAAACCTGACACTGAACTAATACAGAAACTAATTTAATCCACTCTTATTTGAGATATGCTTCTGGTCTGTTAAACACTGGAAGCATATAACAATCCTTTACTCTTTTTCTAAGATGTTTTTAATAAACTTTATTTTAGAGTTGATTACTTACTTATTCATCTTCCCTATTTCTTTCTGATAGCCTTGATTTCTACGGCAGTAGAACTTTGTTGCCTTTTCCTTATGCATATGACCAACTGCTGTAGCAACACATCTCATGTATCTCATCTGGAGAACCTGCCTCTGCAGTGGTCAGCTTGTAGTTCTGAAACTGCTTGTGGCTTGAAAGTTAAAGGTTCCCACTGGCAGTACATCATGGCACTGATACTGCTGCTGATGGAATCAAGCTGGGAGGAAGTCACTCAGTGACTGAAATAGTCAGGCCACAGTAGGACCTAGCTGTACATCCAGCCGAATCCAATCACATAGCAAAAATTTAAGGTCCTTACAAAGTTCTCCCATCTGCAGACTGTTCCCAGATTCTGTTTGCTGTCAGCTCTCAAAAGATTTTTTTTTTTTGTTGTGTCTTGTTCTCAGACACACAAAAGTCAAGGAAGGACTTCCAAAGTTTTGTCACTGATGAGAAAGCAGAACAAAGACTGATAAATATATTAAAAAGAAGGTGAGAAGATCATAAATTAATAAACTAGGGTTTATCCTGTTAAACAATATACCAGATTTCCCAAATATGTAAGGCTACATAAAACTCCTTAGAAGCTGTTGGATCCTTCCTACCATTGCAGGAACTGAGAATCTTCCAAAAATATTGTAGTATTTGTATGATGAAGCTATTAAATTCATAACCAACTTCTTTACCAGCTGTTTTATTCCTCAAGGTGACAGAGACATACAGAGTGATGATATGCCAAACTTAAAAATTGTGGAGAATTTTATTTATGAGAGCATGAGATACCAGCCAGTTGTGGACTTGATTATGCGAAAAGCTTTACAAGATGATGTAATTGATGGCTATCCTGTGAAAAAGGGGACAAATATTATTCTCAATATCGGACGTATGCATAAGCTCGAATTCTTCCCAAAGCCGAATGAGTTCTCTCTTGAAAACTTTGAGAAAAATGTAAGTTTTCTATCTTATTTCTTACAGGAAATTGGATATTATTTATTGAAAATGTCTCTTTCTCTTATTTTGATCAAGAGCTCTGTGCCTGTAAGACTGTTTTCCCTTTGTCTAAGTTCCTAGTTAGCTATACATCCTGCTTACTACTATTATTATTATTATTAAAGCTGTGCAGGAATTTTCCTATCAAAGTGCCTTTTAATTAAAAAATAATTATGATATTAAAAAAAGTTTTCCCAGACATCTTAATTTTGATTAAAAATTTCTGATTAAGTTTGTCTAGTTCCCATTACATTTCCTGACACTGGATAAAATAGAGGCTTCAAGGGAGCTAGAGCCATGCAAGCAGTACAACACAGAGACGAGGCCACATGAGGATTCTCTGGAGAGGTGAAGCAGTACAGAAACTCATGAGAGACTAAGAATCTAGCAATCATTTTACTTTTTTTTTTTAAATCCTAAATAAACATTTTACAGACCAAAATGAAAATCTTAAGTATTAACCAACTCAATACCGCAGATGTTGAGTAATTCAGTCTCAGTTCAGAACATTTCAATTTAAGTCATATTCTAACTCCCAAAAAAACTGTTTTAGTCTACATTACTGAGTCCTGTATCAAAAGCAAAATGTGAACTTCTTTCCTCCTTGTAGTCCCCTACCGTAAATCATCCTTCAGAGTACTTTCATTTAGACCTCTGCTTGTCTGATTACTGATAAAGCAAATTATTTTGCAAAATTGTATTTGTTCAGCAATAATCATCTAGAGAGGTTAAAACTATTGAAAGAAAATAGACTGATTGTACAGCACATTTGACTCCTTGTTTTTGACTGTTAAAAAGTGCAGATGGAAGCAGAAGATGCTGCTACCCAATGTGACAGAGAGCACAAAATGTGAAATACTAAGTTTTGGTTAGCACTCCTGTGAGGGAATTGGAAAGATCTCTGGAATAAATAGCCATGTGAGAGCAGAGGGCATGATCAACTTAATTCTATGAAGGGCATTTCAACTGCAGAACGTTAGCCCTACTGTCATAGGTGCGCACATTTCATGGTATGCGAGCTTTGTCTTACGTTTTCTACTGGCTTTTCAAACATTAAGGTTGAATGGGGTCGAAGCTAAAGGGTTAATGTTTTCTACAGCTATCATAGTTCTCATTTTGTCTGACTAAAAGTGTTAGGAAATAATTTTATTACCTGGCAAAATTTTTTTTCTTTTGAGATGTTAGCTGCTGCTGCACACAAGCATCCACTGGCAGTAATTTCAGTTTTAAAGAAATAAATAGATGACCCACTTTGATACACCAAAAATGGGCTCGCTATTAAAAACACCCAAAAAAATAATTAAGAAAATAAAGAAACAAAAGATATGAATATTCAAGCCAGAAACACACCTCTAAGTTTCACATTTTTCCTATCATAAATCTAGGACTACCATGTATGCCACACACAAACGAACACTAAACAACCTGGTTAACGTTTCTAAACTGCTGATTGAGTACCCATAGCAAACTCTACTCGCAGTGTTAAAAACAACAGATCAAGAAAAAAATCATTGTAGAAAATTCAAGAGTAAGGGATTAAGCTTATTGAAATAACTATTCACTGTGAAGTTTACATTTTGCCATCCATTATTTTCATTCTAAGTATTTCTATCAAACAGATTTCTTGCTTATTTCATAAGTACACTTTGTTACTAAAAATATTTCCCCTTGACCAAATATTTAACCACACATTTTCTATCTGACTTGATGCATTCTGTTTGCCATATAATTATTCTAGAAGCCACAATTTTCACACAGTTCTCTAAGTGAATAGCAATCCACACCATTATTTATAAAATAGCATTGTTAGAATCTAAACATTTTTCCATTTTCCCAGGCTGTGCACTTACAATTGTGCCATACTGCCAGCTGCTGTACTTGCTCTGTATTACGTAAATACTTGTATTTATCTATCATATTTCAAAAAGTATAGCTCAGTTTATTTGAAAAAAATTAAACAGAAAACATTTTTCTCAGTTTGAAAATTAGAAAAAAAGGACATTTTTCTAGATAATTCAATATAAAGCAACCTTTTCTACTCTACTCATGGGTTAAATAGGAAGTCAAAACACAGCTAACATCTTTTTTTAAAAAAGCTACACAGATTAAGAAAAGCAATTTATTTATAGCTAGATTTGCTTTTTCTTACCTAATACAAGTACCTTTGGACCTCATTAGCAGTGCTATTCATGCTGTTGGGACTGTTTTGGATAACTGATCTATTCAATTTCAATAAAAGTAGGAAAAACTTGCTGTGCATTCTTCAACAGCTCTGGGAATCCTGAATTTCACATTTTAGTTGATAGGACAGGAGGCAATCAGTTTGCAAGTGTTCTCTGTCTACTAATATCAAATTAAATTTTTAACATTACATTCTATGACTATTCTCAGGAACGCTAGCTTTTTAATGACAATTGTAGTAGGTGTATGGCTTTATTGACTATCTTTAGACAAGGCATCAGCCTATATCTCAGACATTTATGAGCTTTGTGATTAACATTTTCTGAAAAAGTTTTTCATCAACCTTAACACATACTGAAGAGCAAAGTCTTCACTCCATTTCACAGCTTGTGGTAAAATTCCTGTAGTTCACAGGATGAAGAGACTGAAATACATGGACAGAATTCAACTGCTTAACTTGACATTCCCTGCTATCTTGGCATTTAAACTGGCATGCTTTCTGTACGTGTCTGTATTTCGGCCTGACTTGGGTGGGAGGGCTGTTCAGTGTAAAGGAAAGAAATAACTGCTCCTAAGAGATTCTTTCCACAAGTTTTTCAGAATATACCTTCTACCAATTTCCATTATAATTTCGACTACTATTATGAAGAAAAATTTGTCTTAAAGTTTATTCCTCATGTTACTCTGTGCAGGTTCCTTCACGCTACTTCCAACCATTTGGATTCGGCCCTCGAGGCTGTGTAGGAAAGTTTATTGCCATGGTAATGATGAAAGCGATTCTGGTGACTCTTCTGAGACGGTGCCGAGTACAGACAATGAAAGGAAGAGGCCTTAACAACATCCAGAAAAACAACGACTTATCCATGCACCCCATAGAAAGGCAGCCTCTGCTGGAGATGGTTTTCACACCAAGAAGAAACTCAAACAATAATCAGGGTGACTAAAACGGACCCCCCATCAGCATCAAAGTTACAGAGCTTTCTCAGTCACAGGCACTAAGAAATACTCGTCGTTCCTAGTTAAAGATATAAATTAAAACATTTTGTTGCCCCTAACTGACTACTACAACTTCAGATGACAACTTGTTCTGCATGCACAGCAGAACCAAGTTCTGGCCACAACTTCAATGTGATAAAGTAAGACTAAAACTACAAAATAGTCCTGTTGCTATGTGATTCCACACTATATGCAGGATTCCCGGCTCTCTTTTAAAACCATCAAAGTTATGTCTTGCTTTTCAAACAGTGCAAGTTCAGAAGTTTGAGGGTCAACAAAAGAGCACGCTTGACATGTTTAATGCCAGGACTACATGTGTTCTCCTTGCTCTCTCCTCCCCAAAGTTAGGCCTAGCAATATTTGACTACTGCAAAAGCTTTCATTATCTGACTTTGAAAACACCTGAATGAATAATATTGTTGATTTTAAAACTATGAAACAATTTAAAATATTTAGGACATGAGTTATAAAAAAAGTTCGTACAAGAAGTTATTCAAACATTTTTCCTTATCATTTTTTGCTGTCATGCTAAACATATATGTTATGCTAAACATACCAAAGACTTACAGTGTCAGCTAGGTTTTACGGATGGAAGTAATTTTTCAGAGTTTAGATAACTATTCTATGTTTTTAAAACCCAGCGTCCTGCTACAGAGTATATACAGAGTATCTGTAAACATCTTCGTAAAGACTAGCTGAGAATAAGGTACTGAATACAAAGCGTTACGGTTACTATTAAACAGGAGGGGGGAGTGAAACACTCAGGTCTGCCTCATCTAGTTAACTGTAGAAATTTCCCACCTCAGCTTGGTGAAGAGGTTCAAGTTCTCTCTAAGCTGCCTAAGCAGTATCAAATCCTGTTTCAATCTGATTTTAACTGCTCAATTCTACTTCAGAGAGGAAGACTTGGAGCTGTTGCCCACATCCCCACTCTACAGCAGGGGAGAAAGTTCCTCTCTAATTATCCATTTAGCTCTTATTGCTTCTCCCAAAAGAGCACTGTGCTGTATTCTGCTCTCAAGCATCTTGCTTCACACCCACTGATTTAAAGAGAATTAGTAGCATAAGAAAAGAAACACTGGCTCAAGATGTAGACCTTTTTTTAAAAAAAGAAAAAAAAGTAAAATGGGTTTCACTTATCTACTTAAGGTAAGATGCAAGTTTCATCGGGTAAATGAGTTTTGGAGGGGCAAAGGAGAAAACTTCTGAAGTAACAAACAGATTTCTAGAAAATATTTTTAAAAGACTTTTTGCATACACAGACTTAAATTTTAATTATAAATTAGGCTTAGTTTTATACTTAGTCCTTAACTAGAAAGCTACATAACTATCCAACGTTTCTTGTTGAAAAGGGACCTATCTTGAAATCTGTAGAATTCTGAAATTCATTGATATCTCTACTAGCCTAATGACGAGTTGTTAGTTTGGTCAAGAAGAAAAAGACCTTCCTGGCTTAAGGACAACATTCCTCAACAGAGACTTTCCATTTTCAGTAAGCTTGAGTTTTCATGCAGTGTAACCCAAAGAACGGAGTTTTCCAGCTAAAGTGCCTCAATAAAGGCACACAACCAATGTACAATATGCTTTATATTAACCTTCTCCTTTCAAGTTACTTAGAGTATAAAAAGAAAAAAGATAAATTGTTTATGTCCTTACCTAGAAAATCTAATTAAAATTAATTAGATTAATTAATCTGTTCAACTCAGACCACTGTGTTCAGGTGCAGGTCCAGCAGAGGCAGATCTATCCAGTAGCATACAAAAAAAATCACATAAACCCAACAAATGAATGTGTTCCAGCCAAAGGTAATTAATTAGGTCAGGCTGAGTTTGGTGACAAAGAAGAGTAGCTGCACTTTTAGGTCATGTCTCAGAACAGCATGTAAATTTTCTAAATTAATTTTAAAAACAAACAAAAAAAACCCCCACAAAAAACCAACAATCATCAAACCCACCAAACTTGAAAGTAGAATAATTTATTGTAGCTCAGTTACTTTCAAAGCTTTCTCCATAGCATTTGCATGGTACCCAAAAATGACTAGTGAAATGCAATCCCATACCACCTGTAAATACAGACAAAATTGGGCATTTGAAGACATATAGAAATAGGATTTAACAGTTAGACTTAAAGATATTTAAAGTCTTTTCCAACCTATTTTTTTCTATGATTCTAGGACTCCTATTTTTTAAGTCATGAAGTGACATAGTGGTATGAACTTTTGGAATATCTAATGTAACCTCTATTTCTACATTATCTGTAACCTTTAAACTAGGAAATTGTTTGAGCTGCTGGGAGAAGAAAAAAAATAAAGCCATCCTAAAAAATTTATTAAATCCCATTCTTAAACATTCTGTATCTTAAAACACAAAAAAAAAGTGCTTCAGTGGACATGAATTTTTCATTTGTATGAGAACTTTAAAAAGAAATCTACTGAAGAGTCTTTTTTTCTTGAGAATAGCTACTATTTTATACACAGTATGCATCTTTGCTTATTTCACATACAAAAATATTTTTATAGTGATAATTTTCTGATTTTCCATCTCAATTATAGGTCTCTGAGTAAATTTTTTTCACTAGGTTAGAATTAGTAAATTAATTTTAGCATTCAAATTTTGAAACAATTATATGAAATCATGTAGATATATGGAAAATGCATGCTGCTCTGATTTCTTTAATGTATTATATATTGTTGAATTTGTAGGCTGCAATTTCAGAAACACGATTACCATAACTATTCTATGGAAGAAAGAAAGCAGTTTCATTTTTTACTTTTTGTAAGCAAACCTGCAGAATTTTTTCCCATTGTATTTGAAGTATATTTGTTCTGATACGATTGCACATAGTGTTTCTGGTCCTTCAAATTTCTACAGTACTTAGTTTTGTCCACATTTGGACAATAGAGCTATTAATTAATCTGAACTGTTAGTTAATCTAAGATATTAGCTAATCTGAGCCTTGTTCTCCGTATCTTTATTACGCTGTTACGCAGTGGTCTATTTGCATGACTGTTTGCATGATGAGGTCCATCTCCCCTCCTCGTAATACATATGTTTGAGAACTGTAGTTGGTGAAGCAGTGTTTCAAAGCTTGCCATGTGGCTATGAACAGTTTAAATCTTTTCAATGTACATATGCCATTGTACAAAACCGAGCTCTGATTTTAAATGGTGTTTTATTACCAGGTACTGTAAAAATTTAAGTGACTTTTAAAACCACATCAAGTCTACTATCATTGAGCGACTGTTCTATTAATATTCAATACATCAAAACACGGACCAAACTTGAAGACTATGTTTTATACATCACTGTGATTATGGGCTGCTGATAGCACAAATGTGGATGTTGTTACAAAATAAAATAATCATCAAATAAAAGTTGTATGCACAAAAACAAGTTTTAAATCATGTTTTATCATGTTTTCCCAATCTAAGAACCACAAAAAAGTATTTAAATGTATGAGTGTGTATGTACACATGAACTGATTTTTAAAGTACTAGATATAAGGAAGAGAGTTGAGACATTCTAAACTCAAATTTACTACTGATTTTGGAGAATATAGTATTGCAAAGACATTTTTAATAACAGTAAGAAAGCATAAATAGATTAAGAAATTCAAATTCATACAACACTGCTGGCCTAGGAACGCACTTTATTGAAGCTTTAAAATAAAGGAGAAGAGGTAGTTTTAGGTGATTCATAAGGTAATAGGGATTTGTGGATATAACAAAAAAGCTTGGCTTGAGGATACAAAGGGCTCAGCTATCTGGGAGAAAAGTATCTAAAGTAATTAAAAAATGAAACAAAGCAAAGAAATAAACTGACTACATAGTTCAAAGTAAATGTCATCTCTTTTTCTACTCCTATCACGATGGCATGACAAATTCAGTTTATATCTGTATAATTAATTTCACTTTCAAATGAAAGCTTTCAGAGTGGTAATTCTTGTATTTGGCTAAGTGACAGAAAACTGGAAGGTAGTAAAAGGCACACACACAAAAAAAAAAATCACAACACCTCTTCAACACAGCTGCAAATGGATAGATTTTTTTCAGATAGAAACCTGATCACAAGACACTGCTAGTGAAAAAAATTTATCCTAGAATTTTACAAGTTCTATTAGTAATTCATAAACATTAATAAAAACTGTGCACTTTCTGCATTCTCCAATACAATCCAGTGTTATAACTTTGGTTAGTATCCCGTCAAATTCAATTCTTAACTTTAAAAGAAAATCCCAGTTGAAAGTTTACAGCAGAAAAGAACATATTACTGTTGGATAGAGGAAAACAGTTAATATGTTGGACGAAATCTGCTCTGATCTATGGTGAAATAAATTCTTCTCTAATCTAAGATCAGAATTTGCTGCTGACATACTCATCTTAAAGTGACAGTTACAGGGGACTTGAGAGGTTAAGATTGTTAGGACCCAAAACATTATCTATCTACTATTATTGTAAGCCTTAAAGTTTATGATATCTGTTTATAAAAGTTCTGGGTTTGCACACTGTTATAAGTCCAATGTTTTCAAACACAGACCTTTAATTTTACAATATAGACAAGGACTCGATTCCATAGATCTACACTACAGTAGCAATAATTCAACTCAAATGCATCAATGCATTAAAAATAATGATCCAGAATTGTCTTTAGACTTATATATTGTGAACTACAGTCACTCAAAAAAATCTGCTGCTTTCCTAAAGTGAGAGAATTTTATGCTATTTGTATTTTTGCTATCATCTCTTTACTTGCAGATAACTTTACTTAGGTACAAATAGAATTGAAAAGATCTATGAGTTAACATTGCACTCCAAGCAGGGTCCAGCAGATGGCACACACAGAAAATATATTCATGCAACAAGAAAAGTTTGTGTGTTATCAAAGTCCCTGTTGATACACAAAAGCTAAAAGCCAATAGACTCCTATGGTCTTAGTTATTAAACACCGCTTTAAGGAAGAGGCAGAGTCATTCTAGAGTCATTGAAAGCGTAGAGGTGAGAG